ACAACTAGGACAACTTTTATTGCAAACATGATATGTATGCAAGGGATGGGGTTGATAAATTAGACACATGTGCAACTCTTGGGTATCTTTATTGAGGAAACGTTTCGCCACACATTGGCTTCATCAGTCCATACCATCAGACCATTCATCTACAAACCTGTCAGACACTGCAACTTCTTGGGATCTTAATACTTGGGAATTCTTCGCTTGCCTAATTCTTGGGCACGACCTACTTCCACATTGAACAAGTGTGACACCACCTATGACTGCTGCACCTCTCCTACCAACGGTTTATAAGCTCCTTCTCCGCACGTATGCCATATTCTATTCAAGATTGATGGACTGACCACATCGACTCAAGGTTGAGGGACTGATTACCTCATTCTCCTCCTGTTCTTCAAGATTCTCCTTTGTATGGACTGATGAAGCCACTGTGTGGCGAAACGTTTCCTCAATAAAGATACCCAAGAGTTGCACATGTGTCTAATTTATCAACATGTCGGTTCTCTGAACCATTCATCTACAAGGGATGGGGTACATCTCTCTGGGGCTGGGGTGGTAGCATTTGCCAACTCCATCAAGAGGGCCATTGCTGACTTGTCTAGGATTTTAAACTGATAGCAGATAGAGGTATGGGTGTGTAAGAAAACACTCAGGTTGCAACACTGGGGATGAAAACAGTGTTTAAATACATTATTCATCATACAGCTACAAATTAAGACAACGGAACTGGCCAGCAAACAAATGGAGACAGCAGAGGGCGGTGAGAGACTCACTCCCTTAATAGCAGGAGTGTAAGAAACAAGACAGATGAGCTAAGATTAATTGCAAGTGCAGGAAGCATAGATATTATTGCTATAACAGAGACCTGGCTCAATCTGTAAGATAGAGAAATGACTTCTGAATGATTCATACAAGGCTATAAATTATTCCACACTGATAGGGTCAACAGGAAGGGTGGTGGAGTAGCGATGTATGTCAGAGATAATTTAACTTGTGTTAGACAAGATATAAAATTAGAAGTGTCAGTCACTGAATCTGTGTGGATACAGCTTCTCAATGGCCGTGAAAAACTAATCTTGGGTGTGGTTTACAGGCCCCAAAACCTGATATGGAGTGTAGTAAACTTCTATGGGACAAAATTCGTAAGGCATATACATAGGAAAATGCTGTGCTAATGGGAGATTTTAACTTTAGACAAACTGGAGCAATTTGACAGGAAATTTAGAGTCAAGCGACTTTCTTGATACGATTTAGGATTGTTTTTGAAAACAGTTTGTGATAGAACCTGCTTGACTTGGTTCTTGCCAGCAGGGAATCACTAATTAATAATCTTGTGGTTAATGATGAGCTTGGGGAAAGTGATCACACATCACTCAGTTTTAATAATTCATGGAATTACCCTAAAAAGGGCAATCAAGTCTCTGTCTCTTGACTTCTACTTGCTGTCCCTGTTTTCCTAGCAGTAAGTAGGTACAGAACAATAAATCATTTCAGACCATTAATTACCCAACTTACTCACCCACAACTAAATAAATACTGAATAACTGTATTTCATAAATGTATAACACGTGACCCTATCAAACTGTGTTTTTTAATTACATTACCCAGTAGAATAATCCATTCTCTTGAGTGCACAGTAACTCATCTAATGACCATATGACCTGTTTCTGCACTACAAATCATTGATTAGTTAATCTTAAGTTAATTTTAAGCCTGCCCATAATGCTCTGCATACAAGGGGCTTTTGGCATGTACACCCAATCACTATAATTCTTTGTACAACTATATATCATGTCATATGGGTGGCATCCTGGAGGACAAGACATCGAGGACAGACAGTCCTCGATGACGCACTGACTTTCTTGGGTAATCCTGGGTGGCTAACCCTCCCTACCCTAGGTTATCCTGGGTGGCTAACCCTCTCTACCCCGGGTTAAAAATCCGAACAAATATATGATCTTACAGAGACTAATGCAAAAATGCAATTTAGGTGGACGTCCTACGCCATCTATTGTCTAAAACAGAATCTGTGTGTCCACCATTGAATGGCCGATAGATGGCAGCACCAAGCAGGTTGGTGATAATAGAAACTATAAAGTATATATATATTTTTTTTGACATTCTTGAAGTTAGCATTAATATTAAAATTAAGACGTTAGTATAATAACCAAGATCATATATAATCATGGAACCAGAGTTACATATATATACCGTGGCACAAACACAATTATATATCAGATAATATTCTTGGAAGTATCAGTATGAGTACACACGCTTATGACACTTACTGTTTTATGGTGCAATCCTTTGTTTGTGATTAAAAATGCGAAAATATCCACGAGCTTAATAATAAAACAAAATATTTTTGTTACCCCTTTATAATATTCAAAGAGTACGACAGCAAAGAGGCTCAGAGAAAACGACAAATTTAGACCATATGGGTAACTAAAGTACTAGTTGAAGTCCTTCCTACTGTAACTGGTAAGTAAGTTTACTTATGTATAGGTACACTTAAGTACAATTATTGTACACAGTGTAAATTACCTAGGATAACCTAAAAAGTTAAACAAAGTGACTTATTTCTATTGGAGTCCTTGTAATGTCTTAGTAACGTTGAACAGCCTATTACAAACTGTGAAAAGTCCGTCATAGAAGATCATTAATAATAAAAACAAAACACACTCGAGTAATCAAATAAACTGACTAGCTCAAATACACGAAAAAGAATTACACGAGCATCAAAAAGAAAAAATCAACTGAATATAAGAGTTACATTAATATTAATTATACAATGAGCAGCATGAATATAACAAATACATTAATGTTAAATGCACAAGAGATGACACTCCTGCTTTTCTGTGGCTTCACTCATTATGTACTTTTAATTCTTTCCTTAAACTGGATTATGCTGAGACTGGCCTTGACATGGTCACACTGCCCCTTCCACTCCTTTATTTACTGTATAGTAGATGGCTGAGGTCTGGCAACACCGCATACCCACACAAAAACAGTGGCGCTGTTAAGTGGCGATATCCAAACTAATCCAGGACCTTAAACTATTTGTACAAGTGCAAAATAAGCAGATAAGTGACGGAGATAATGACGGTCTAGTAGCTAGGAATGATAACCTTCATACGTAATGCATACACAGGGTAATGTGAGACAATAGAACCATTCTTATCTCAGACATCATGACACATATGTATACACTGTACTAAGGTGCGAAAGAACTGTAAATATACCTTATGTAAAATGTGTACAGCAATAAAGGACTGGAACAGACTGCCTGCACATGTCAAAGCCAGTCATAGCATGAGTCAGTTCAAGAAGAAAGTCAAAAGGTGCCTAATTAATGTAGCGACAGAAAGGCAGGAGAATGATTTTACATTTTTTAGCTAACACACTTGCAAATGTAAATAACTAATTTTACCTTATTCCTAGTGCATCTCCTTTATAGTATAATAATAAGAAATTATCTCCTTTGTAGTATAATAATAAGGTATTAAAAGGACCCTAATGGAAATAAGTCACTTTGTCTGACTTTTTGCGGTTATCCCAGGATCTCTACACATACTCTGCTATGTAAGATAATCTATGTAACTGTATTTGTGTATACCTGAATAAACTTACTTAGCCTGACTACCTACTAGAGATACTAGTAAACTGTCTTCACTTCGTCTAGTACCATACTGACTGACATAATTCGCAGCAAGATATTCTGGATACTTCCTGTGATCTTTTTGATAAACATGATTCAATTCAAGCTGCCTGAACATATCGTCAATATTAATTACCCATTTCCAGTTGTCAGTCATCCTGGCCCTCTTGGACTCGGGTCTAGGATGAATTTCAGCAATTTATGCGAGTAATTTGTGGTCTGTCTTTCAACTGTTTTTTTTTTAGCGCAAATTAGCTGGCCGCATGACCTACTATCACTAGTGGATTTTTCCAACGGTGACTCTGCCTCCTCCTGCTTCTACTCACCTGACTGCACTTCTCCGAGCATATACCGTGCTTTTCTCAAGATTGATGGACTGAACACATTGACTCCAGGCTGAGGGACTGATTACCTCCTTCTCCTCTTCATCTCTCACCGTTCTTCACTGTACTGAACTGAGGAAGCCACTGGCTGGCGAAATGTTTCCTCATTAAAGAGTCTCATTCTCCACCTGTTAGTGTTATTCTCAAGGCCGGGTGTGTGTTCAGGTGCAAACATGGGCAGTTCTGAGTCCACCCAATCAGTAATGAAAACAAAATCATTCTTGAATGAGTTGAGGCAAGTCAAGTAACCTGAGCAGGTCCAAGATTAAAACGGGAGTGAATTTTAAGTTAACCTCGAAATGTAAAATTGAGTAACTTTCAGCAAGAGAGAGTTTGTTTAATATTCATCCATATTGATGGCCTCGCACTGAGAGACTCGGATTCCTTAATCTATCTTCACAGCTCCGCTTAATTTCAGAGGCTAGCCTGGTTTAACAAAACCACGCTCCTATTAACCTAGGCTACAATGCTTGTACAGAAAATGAACGTTAACTACAGTAAAAGAAACTCATGGTCAAAGTGGTAGCAGCGTCAAAACGATTTGCGGATTTTGGAATTAAAGAATAGAACTGGAGGGATCTTCTTTACCAACCAAAGAACATACAAGCTTACTACAGTACTCTTCTACAAAGAATTTAGACAATTTCTTACGCAGGGGTTACTATAAAGACTGTCTTTAGTTATGATCATACACTGTAATAACAGTCTATGTGAATACCCAACATAACATTGTAAATTACCACTTCACAGTAAATGCAGTGTTACGATACATCGCAACTACAACACTTGTTTTTGTTGAAACGAGTTGGGCCACTCTGGAATATGACAGGAAAACAGTCGGCTTCTGTTTCCACCACTTAACTTATAAATAATAGAATAGCTGCACACTGCAGGTTTAACGTTATTGAATAAAATATACGCCCCTAATAAAAGGTAGAAGAGAGAGTGTGACTTACCAGTAGAGGATATCATTAGCATAGTGGATCTGGTACCTGACGGTGCGGCAGAGTGCGCGGAGCGCTGGCTCACGCAGCCAGCACAGCGCTTCCATACCCCGCAAGCAACCGTAGATCATCTCCAGGTCCTGCGGGTAAGAAACACAAAATTTATTGTTAATCAGCCCTATACCATAACATTGGTATATTATATTTAGGTCCTGTCAGGGACAGGATGTGAAGCTTCGCGTTCATCGTGTTCACCAGTACCCGAATCTAAGTGTGAATACTCATCTAAATGTGGTTGCAGGGGTCGAGTCAAAGATCCTGGCCCCCGCCTCTTCCCTGGTTGCTGCTACTAGTGTGTGTGTGTGTGTGTGTGTGTGTGTGTGTGTGTGTGTGTGTGTGTGTGTGTGTGTGTGTGTGTGTGTGTGTGTGTGTGTGTGTGTGTGTGTGTGTGTGTGTGTGTGTGTGTGTGTGTGTGTGTGTGTGTACTCACCTATATGTGGTTGCAGGGGTCGAGTCATAGCTCCTAGCCCCGCCTCTTCACTGGTCGATACTAATTCACTCTCTCCCTGCTCCATGATATTTGTCATACCTCTTCTTAAAGCTATTTATGGAACTTGCTTCCACTACTTCACTCTCCAGATTATTCCAGTTCCTGACAACTCTAAGACTAAAGAAATACTTCCTAACATCCCTATGACTCATCTGGGTTTTCAGTTTCCAATTGTGTCCTCTTTGTTTCTGTATCCCATCTCTGAAACATTCGATCCTTGTCCACCTTGTCAATGCCTCTTAGTATTTTATACGTTGTTCTCATGTCCCCTCTATCCGTCCTATCCTCTAGTGTCATCAGGTTGAGTTCCCTTAACCTCTCCTCATAAGACATACCCCTCAGTTCCGGGACTAATCGTGTTGCAAATTTTTGCACTTTCTCCAATTTCGTGACGTGTTTGACTAAGTGAGGGTTCCATACTGGCGCTGCATATTCCAGTATAGGCCTTACGTACACTGTGTACAATGTCGTGAATGACTCCTTACTCAGATGTCTAAACGCCAATCTCAGGTTTGCCAATCTCCCATATGCTGCAGCAGTTATTTGATTGATGTGTGCCTCAGGGGACATGTTCGTTATAATGCTTACCCCAAGATCCTTTTCTTTAACTGACGTTTGCAGCTGTTGGTTTCCTAACCTGTACTCCGTCTGCGGTCTTCTGTGTCCTTCCCCAATCTTCATGACCTTACACTTACTGGGGTTAAACTCCAGGAGCCATTTGTCGGACCATACTTGTAGTTTATCCAGATCCCCTTGTATTCTCCTCATCAGTTTCACATCATCAGCGAACAGTGACACTTCTGAATCTACTCCTTCCACCATATCATTCACGTATACAAGAAACAGCACCAGGCCTAGGACTGAACCTTGTGGAACCCCACTCGACACATTAGCCCACTCTGACACTTCATCATGTACCAACACACGTTGTTTCCTTCCTGTCAGGTATTCCCTGATCCATTGCAGTACTTTCCCCGTTATTCCTGCCTGCTCCTCTAATTTTTGCACCAGTCTCTTGTGTGGTACTGTGTCAAAAGCCTTCTTGCAATCTAAAAAGATGCAATCTACCCATCCCTCTCTCTCCTGTCTTACTTCTGTTACCTTATCGTAGAACTCAAGTAAATTTGTGACACAGGATTTCCCATCTCTGAAGCCGTGCTGTCATATATGAGCCCAATCTTTTCAATGTGTTCCACTACTTTTCTTCTGATAATCTTTTCCATGACTTTACATACTATACAAGTCAGTGACACTGGTCTGTAGTTTAATGCTGCCTGTCTGTCCCCTTTCTTAAAAATTGGAACTACATGTGCTGTCTTCCACGCTTCAGGCAACTGCCCTGTTTCGATAGATATACTGAAGATTGCTGCTAATGGCACACACAGTTCCTCTGCTCCCTCTCTCAGTATCCATGGAGATATGTTATCTGGGCCCACCGCCTTTGAGGTATCCAGTTCGTCTAGCAGTTTCTTCACCTCTACCTTGGTTATGTGTATTGTGTCCAGCACCTGCTGGTGCACCCTACCTCCACAGTTTGCTGGAAGCATTCCTGACTCTATTGTGAATACTTCTCTAAATCTTTTGTTTAGTTCATCACATACTTCTTGGTCACTCTTCGTCAGCTTCCCTCCTTCTTTCCTCAGCCTGATTACCTGGTCCTTGACTGTTGTTTTTCTCCTAATGTGACTGTACAACAACTTTGGTTCAGATTTGGCTTTTGATGCTATGTCGTTCTCGTATTGCCTCTGAGCCTCTCTCCTTATCCCTGCATATTTGTTTCTGGTTCTTCTGCTCATCTCCTTGTTTTCTTGAGTCTTTGCCATCTATACCTTTTCCATGCTCTAGCACACTTGGCTTTGGCCTCTTTACACCTCCAATTAAACCATGGGCTCACTCTGGTCTTACCATTTTTTCTGTTGCCCTTTGGTATGAACCTTTCCTCTGCCTCCCTGCACTTAGTGGTTACTATTTCCATCATTTCATTTACTGTCTTTCCATCTAGTTCTCTTTCCCACTGCACTTCATGCAGGAAACTTCTCATTCTTATGTAGTCCCCTTTTTTGAAGTTTGGTTTCTCTCTTTGTTCTCGTGCTGCTGCATTCTCCACTGTTAACTCGACAAGATATTCAAAACTCAGGACATCATGATCACTAGCGCCAAGGGGTCTTTCGTGGGTGATATCCCTTATGTCTGAACTATTCAATGTGAATATGAGATCCAGCCTTGCTGCAACATCCTCTCCTCTCTCTCTGGTTGTATCCCTAACATGTTGATGCATGAAGTTCTCCAATACAGTCTCCAACATCCTAGCCCTCCATGTTTCTGGTCCCCCATGTGGCTCTAGGTTTTCCCAGTCAATCTCTTTATGATTGAAATCCCCCATTATAAGCAATTTTGTCCTACCCATATGAGCCCTCCTGGCCACTTCAGCTAGTGTATCCATCATTGCCCTATTGCGCACATCATACTCTTCTCTTGTTCTCCTGCTGTTAAGTGGTGGGTTTTACATCACTGCTATCATAACCTTTGGACCACCAGTCTGAAGTGTTCCTACAATGAAGTCATCTGTTTCTCTTCTTTCCATTCCTCCCATCTCCTCAAAACTGCACTGTTATTTTATGAGCAATGCTACTCCTCCTCCTCTGTTCTCTCTGTCTTTCCTCATAATCTGATATCCAGGTGGAAAAATTGCATCTGTTATCCCTGTAAGTTTTGTCTGTTAGTGCTATGATGTCAGGTAATGCATCAATGATGCATTCTTGCCACTCTTCACTCTTATTTATTCCATCTGCATTGGTGTACCATACCTTTAGCTTCCTTTCCATTACTGTATTTTGGGAGATGGAAGAGGAAGGTGTAGGCTGGGAGGGTGGGAGGCAGGGCACAATATTATGGGAGGCTGCTGTGATTGTGGAATTAGTGCTTAAGGGGATGGTGGCTATGGAGTGAGGTTCGTTTCTGTTTAATGTGTTTGGTTGATATGTGGAGACAGGGGTTGAGAGGTTTCCGTAAGCATTTGTGTTTGATGTTCCCCCAAAGGCTGAGTTTTCCTGTCTGTCGTTGCCTGTCCTATCTCTCTTTCCTTCCACTGGTTCTGTCTTGCTCTCACTTTCAGTTGTTCCCTTTCCTTTTGTGTTCTGTCTCGATTGAGGAACACTTTTTGATAATCTGGAGAGTGCTTTAACAGTGGTTTCTGTTCTGTACCACATCTGTCTTGAATGTCAATCTGATTGGTTGATTTTTTTTCCCTCGAATACCCCCCCCAAGTCTGTGAAAATTTTCTACCTGAGACATGTCCCTCTCTCCTGTTATTGCAATGATGTTCTTAATCTCTGTTTTCTCCCAATGCTTCTTTCATCATAGGTCTGCCCTTCAGCCTCCTGAAGCCCATGAATAATTATTGACCTCTCCCTCTCCTCTCCCATTTCTTTTCCCTCTGTATCTCTGGATCTGATTTAAGCATCTCCTTTGCTGTTTCCCTAATCATCTCCCAGACACCATGATGGCCTGAAATTACTGCTACAAAAGACTGCTTAGATCCATCCCCTCCTTCAGTCCCCTCGCTGCCTGCTGATGTTCCCATTTTAATCAATTTGCTCCTTTCGGACCTCATCTTTAGATCCTGCTTCAGCACATCCATTTCTTCCTCCAATCTCTGTATCTTTGCCTCAGCTACTACAGCTCGTGATTCCCACGTCTTGCTCTCTGCAGATATTTGCTCTAATATGTTATTGCAAAGCTCGTTTAACCTTTTCTCCCATTGTTGTTCCATTTTGTCCTTGAGCCATTCTACCCATTATTCCTTTTCCGACCAGCCATCATTGGTTCCCTTGCCTTTACGTCCTCCCTTTTGAGAGCCCATTTTGTTTTTATCCTGTTGGGATGTTCTAGCTGCTTCAGCTTATCGTAAAAATGTGTGTGTGTGGTGGGGGGATTTATGAGCTAATGTGTTAGATTAGATTTGTGTGTGTGTGTGTGTGTGTGTGTGTGTGTGTGTGTGTGTGTGTGTGTGTGTGTGTGTGTGTGTGTGTGTGTGTATGTGTGTGTGTGTGTGTGTGTGTGTGTGTGTGTACTCACCTAGTTGTACTCACCTAGTTGAGGTTGCGGGGGTCGAGTCCGAGCTCCTGGCCCCGCCTCTTCACTGATCGCTACTAGGTCACTCTCCCTGAGCCGTGAGCTTTATCATACCTCTGCTTAAAGCTATGTATGGATCCTGCCTCCACTACATCGCTTCCCAAACTATTCCACTTACTGACTACTCTGTGGCTGAAGAAATACTTCCTAACATCCCTGTGATTCATCTGTGTCTTCAGCTTCCAACTGTGTCCCCTTGATACTGTGTCCAATCTCTGGAACATCCTGTCTTTGTCCACCGTGTCTATTCTGCGCAGTATTTTGTATGTCGTTATCATGTCCCCCCTATCTCTCCTGTCCTCCAGTGTCGTCAGGTCGATTTCCCTTAACCTCTCCTCGTAGGACATACCTCTTAGCTCTGGGACTAGTCTTGTTGCAAACCTTTGCACTTTCTCTAGTTTCTTTACGTGCTTGGCTAGGTGTGGGTTCCAAACTGGTGCCGCATACTGTGTGTGT